GTGTGGGAATTGTTTGCAATTAGGGGAGGGAGAGAGGTTGGTGGGTTATTTTGAAGCTCTGTTTCTTAAATCAGGAAAGCAGAACTAAGGGATTATATCAAGAAGGAAACAGAAGAAAGGCCAGAAACACCCTTCCTACTCCTGAAACTAGAGCCTCTGGTACACTGACTGCAAAAATAATTTACATTTCATTTAAAAGAATGTCATTTTAAACTTCTATACGTCTACCCATCTTACTATTTCTGAAGACCTACCTTCTGTCTTTTCTCCACTTTCTTTGTAATCAACTCTATCTGCCATTTCTATTCCACAATGCAGTCTTAAACCCCAAAGAATATAGCAGTACAGAAAGATGGTCTGTACTGGATTAATAATATCCCCCTAAAATCTGTGTCTACCTAGAACTCCAGAGTGTGACCTTATTTGGAAATAGGGTCTTTGCAGATATAATTGGTTATGATGAGGTCACACTGGATTAGGGTGCACCCTAAATCCAATGACTGGTATCCTTAGAGGAAGGCCATGTGAAGACACAGACACATGAGGAAGGTTACATCGAGAGGGAGGCAGAGATTAGAGTTATGTTGCCACAGGCCAAGCGACACCAAGGACTGCCAGCAACCACCAGAAGCTAGGAAGAGGCAAGGAGTCTTCTCTAGAGGTTTCAGATGATGCATGGCCCTGCTAACACCATCTCAGACTTCCAGTTGCCAGAACCGTGAGCCAATCAATTTCTGTTGTTTTAAGCCACCCAGTTTGTAGGACTTTGTTATGGCAGCCCTAGGAAACTAACACACATCTTGATGAGGGTTTCAGCAGCAAGACTTCGCAACGTTACCTTAGAGGATAAGGGAACATGAAGAACAGATCTAAATAGTAGCACAAACTCACAGCTCTGTCCTCATTTACTAACAGATCACATTCATTTATTTCTGTGCCTCCTGTCCTCCACAGTAGTATCTTTGTTCTGTGTAGGACTCTAGCTTACAGTCTGGACCTACTAATATGCCTAAAGACGCATCATCCACATTTCTTTGCTTAGTATCCTATCGTCCCATCCTAGCAAAGCATAATTACATGTATACTTTAGAGACAACAGCTAAGCTTTAGAGCAGTTTTTAACCCTTTCAGTCTCCCCAGAAAAGGCACATACTTCAGGGGTCTACGGACCCCATGTGAGAGACTCCACTTTTTTAGAAAGTTCAGACACCTTCAGGATAATTCCAATCTCTTCTCCTAACCCACCACCCACACCCCAATTCAATGTCAGCTTGCTTCTGAAGTCCTCCAATGAATGACAACAGCAACCCTCCATTCACTTTTACCCAAAGGCTCAGAGAGAAAGTGTTGCTATTATTCAAGCCACTGCAGAAAGTTCCATCTGGAAAATACAACATTCAGGGAGAATTAGCCTCCAATCATACCCACAATTCAAAACAAAGTCACAGTTATGGCCCCCACTCAACTACTTGACTCCTGCTTTTCTTCCACCCTTTTTCTCCTTTCCTTCTTTCTTACTGACTCCTAATTTTTCTAATTTAACCTTCACTCAAATGCACCATAACAAGGAGCAATGAAATTTGGAGCAACCTAAACAAAATAATCCATGTGTTTAGATTTCAATTAATTATAAATGCCTTATCCACAGGCATTCCTCTTAGAATACGTTTCTGGCAGAATGTACCCTGTATTTATAAAGATCTTCCTGCAAGTAACCATCCACACCTGACTACCACAGAGAATTTTACTGACATCTATTTTTCACTTCTTGCCAGATACTTTGACTCTAAGACGCACTTTCCATTAAGATATACTTAGAAAGTTTCTCTTCAAAACTCAATCTTAAACCACTGTAATCTCTTCACCCTGGTTCTGCCAATTCAGACCCTTTCTCTTCTAATAAAATTGTTACATTTGACAAAAAGGATTAGGCATCTTCTGAGTTGAAAGTCTTCAGGGCACAAGACTGTTCATGACCGTGAAGCTCACAGCTGTTTCTGATTTCCATCAACTTTCCCGTCTGACCCAGTCTCTACAGAACCACGGTCTATTTTCTCTCCAGGAGCTGATGATCCAGCTTTACATATTCTGAGTTATGTAGCCACATAGATGGAGACAAAAGAAAAGAAACCAGTCTTCCTAACCCGAGCAGTCTTCTTCCTAACCCGAAAGCAGTCTTCTTAAACCGAGCAGTCAGGGAAGTGAATGTACCTAGGGATCTAAGAGACTCTGCAGTCTTAAGGCCTGTGATCCATCCCCAAGAAAAACACAACCACCTTTTAAGCAGGACTTCCCATTCAAAGCCATCCATCACCTCGTTCCTTTGCAGATCTTTAAAAATCATAAATAATGTTTACCTTAATTAAGAACAAGCAATGATTTCGCCACATAACTGCCACTGTCAATTTCTTACCTATTAGCAAGATCTTACTTAAATCTGTAAAGTCCCTCAACCCGTAAAGGTTTTCAAAGAGTTTGAATCTTTTAAAAATAGTAGGCAAATTTATTAGTCCACATTTGGTCTAATGAAGCACAAGCTGAGATTGCTTAAGTATCACCAGTTTTACAAATACAGAAGCTTCTTCCCTTTACAAATACAGGTCCAGGGCTCCATCAACCTAGTCCTTGACTTGCAGCTGAAAAAGCAAAAGGTCTGTGTGAAGTGATAAAAGAACACATCCTACTCATCTCGTGACCAAGAAACCAAAGCTGACACGAGCACCGTAAAGACCGGTGTGCGGTAATGGCACCCTACGGAAGGAGAGCGAGTGCTCAAGTAGATGAGCAGGTTCTCGACATCACTGTGACAGATTTCGGTCTGAGGAACTGTGCTGGAGGGGGCTTCATCCTCTTCTACAATCCCCTTATACGAAACAAAAGGCTGAAATCAAGTCTTTATAAAAGAAATTAACGGCCTTTCCGTTTCTTCATTTTTCCTCCAGCGACCTTGTTCCTGACACCCATAGCACCCTCCGTGTCGTCATTGTCCCCAGTGTCCTCCCGCACGCGTTTCTTCTTTTCTCCATTCTCCCTTAACTCCTGCAAGAAAAGAGAAAGGATGGGATTGAAAATGAATTACTGTCACTGAGGGTAACACATCCTGCTCTCCTCTCCTTAAAATGCAACACCGGGGCACCTGGGTGGCTCAGTCGGTTAAGCAGCTGACTTCAGCTCAGGTCATGATCTTGCAGTTCTTGAGTTCAAGCCCCGTGTTGGGCTCTGTGCTGGCAACTCCTGGAGCCTGCTTCGATTTCTGTGTCTCCTACTCTCTGCCCCTCCCCCACTCACTCTCTCTTTCTCTCTCAAAAATAAACAAACATAAAAAAAAAAAAAACACTACATAACTCCCTAATACCTCACACTAACAAAGGGAGAAGACCAAAACCCCGATACACAAAAATGTTTACATGAAAATTAAAACAATAAGCTATTATTTACACATGGCAGGCCAGCAAAGATTTAAGAGAATGGTAATACCTAGTATTTGTCAAGGTGTGGGGACACCCACATAAACTGTCGCCGACAGCTCTTCTGGGTGGGAGAGGGAGGAATCTGGTATTCTGTATGAATTCAAATTTTAACTCCATTTACTCCTCGGCCCGACAACTAATTCTACTTTTAGGAATTTATTCTAAGGAAACGAGTACACAAAGCTGTACATACTAGGATGCCCAACATGGTACTAGTTAAAACACAAAACCTGTGAAAAAACATAAATATACACCCATGTAAGTCATGTTATATATTTATAATGGAATTTTTTGTAGCCACTGAGAAGTGATCACATTGCTCTATATTTGTTAAAATAGAAAAAATGTTAATCATATACAATTAGATAACATCTAATTATGGCTAAAAAAAGAAAAATAGCCAAATGTTATCAAGAGCCAAATGTTCGCCGTGGGGGATAACTCCTATGTCTCATTTACTATTTTAATCTTTTCCATATTTTCTGAAATTCTTTCCAATGTATATCTAATACTTTTATAAACCAAAATACCAAATGAGAGTTCTATGTGAGCAGAAAAACACAAGTCCACGCCTCAGCTACTCAGAAAGCAGCCCAGGGGCAAAGTTTCTTCATCCCTCAGACTAGAACTCTAGGGAGCAGCAGCACTTGCTAGGATTCTCTTTTACAATCTTCCCATCCTCACCATTATTATTACTGCTACTTACTGTTAGTTACTACGCAGTTCACGTTAGCTTATCTGATGCCCAAAAAACCCCTATAAGGATCAAGGTAACTGTTATTTCCAATTTACAGGCAAGGAACTGATTCCGAGAGGTCAGACGCATTGTTCAAACCACAATGTCCAATTCACAGCTGGGTCTTCTGATCTCGAGTCCAGAGGTTTTCTTGCCACATGTGAAACATGAACAGTGGCTGAGCATGTGGTCACTGTGGTCAGACTGAGTCCAGACCTCAATTCAAATTACCTACCATCTCTACACGTTAGTATGCTCATCTTAAATTTAGAATAAAATAATACTTCCTGCAGTTAGTTATGAGGATTAATCCAACAGCATCTAGCACATAGTTACCATTATTTGCATAAAAGTTGGTGAAAAAGTAAGTTGCATACCATTCGGGCAAATCTTTGGGCTTCAGTGACACGCTCTGTCAGCATCATAACCTCATCATCCTGTGTTGGAAAGACAGGCAGTTTCTTCCCAATTAAGTGTTCTATGCGCTGGAAGAGTTCTACATCATACCTGAGGAAGGAAAATTGGTGTGGTTTTGGCTGGCTGACAACGCGGATGTCTGTCCATTCCCAAACTACACATTATGCGGTATAAGGCAACTGACGCAAGTTTTAAACAATACTGAATCCAGAATACTGATTAGAGCAATCCTCGGTACACAGCCCACTAGATCACCCAACATATTTTTACTCCCAGAAAAGCCAAAATTTTGTCTCTCTAAAAACAAAATCAGGGCGTCTGGGTGGCTCAGTCGGTTAAGTGTTTGACTTCGGCTCCAGTCATGATCCCGTGGTTTGTGCTGGAGCCCCATGTCAGGCTCTGTGCTGACAGCTTGGAGCCTGGAGCCTGCTTCGGATTCTGTGTCTCCCTCTCTCTCTGCCCCTCCCCTGCTAATGCTCTGTCTGTCAAAAATAACCATTAAAGTTATTTATTTATTTTTTTAAATTTTTTTAACATTTATTTATTTTTGAGACAGAGAGAGACAGAGCATGAACGGGGGAGGGTCAGAGAGAGAGGGAGACACAGAATCTGAAACAGGCTCCAGGCTCTGAGCAGTCAGCACAGAGCCCGACAAAGGGCTCGAACTCATAGATCGTGACCTGAGCCAAAGTCGGACGCTTAACCGACTGAGCCACCCAGGCACTCCTAAAGTTTTTTAAACAAAATCAAAATAATTATTCTAATACTCTGAGTTGAGGGAAAAGTCACTACTCTCCAGCTTCAGCAGTTGAAAGAAGGAGCAGGGGTTTGTGTGTTTCTATATGCCAAATGCTACACTAGATCATACATATATATATATATAGGATACATGTATATATATATATATGTATATAATTTTCATTAATGCTTTGTTAAGTAGATAACATTATTTCCATTTTATAAATGCTGAAAACAACATGAAGGAGGTTAAATGACTATTACAGTAAGTGGCAAAGTCAGGCCACCAAGTCAGTCTGCACCAAAGCTCTGCTCTTTTCTCTGCATTGTTCTGCCCCTGAAGTCAATTTACTTACTGTGTGACAAAGGTGATAGCCTTTCCAGAACGCCCAGCTCGAGCGGTTCGACCTACTCGATGGATATAATCCTGAGAAAAAAAAGCATAAATAAATCTGAGTTACATAAAATTTAAATAAAAAACTATGAACACAAAGTCTTACTGCAAACTTCTGAAAGGAAATAAACTCATGTTGAAACATGGAAAAATGGACTGGGCAATTTGTTCAGATAAATCTACTTCATCTTTTTTATTTTCCTTGCAGCACAAAACTGACTCTCTTTTCTTTACAGGAAGACAAATCTAAAGCATATCTACACGGCTGCAGACAACATGGTCTAGAGAAAAACAGCACTGGATCTAGAGGCAGACCTGCATCATGGCTCTGGTCTTACCACCTACCAGCTACACAACTATCTATAAGTCACATAGCCTCTTTGAATCTTGGTTTCTATCTATAAAACAGGGATAGAAACACATGCCCACACTCAGAGTTATTGGGAAAATCAAATGAGACAGCACCTTGTCTACAGCAGTTAAATACAAAGCCAAGAGATACTAGTTGTTCTGGGGGCAATTCTGTCCTCCCCAGGGATATTTGGAAATGTCAGAACACATATGCGGTTGTCATAATGTCACCTATGGGTGGAGGCCAGGAATGCTGCTAAGCATCCTCCAATGCGAAGGACAGCCCCACAGCAAAGAATCTGCTGGCGCAAAACATTAACAGTGCCAAGGCTGAGAAACCCTGAGATACACTGAGAACCACAAGCTGACGACTCTGAAGAAGTAAGACTGACAAAGATCAGCACGTGCTGCATCTACTCCTGTGATCTCACACCTCTCTTTGGCTACCTTCATTCACATTTATTAATATCACATCCTCAGGCACATGCAAGATAACGAGAATAAATAAATCAAGAGCTTTCCCAGTTTTTGATACTTAACCAATAAAGGATTAAGAAGAAAAAAAAAGGAGACAGAAAACATTCCATTAAGAAACACACTTTGGAGGGGCGTCTGGGTGGCCCAATCAGTTAAGCATCTGACTCTTGATTTCAGCTCAGGTCATGATCTTGCGGTCATGGGATCGAGTCCCATGTAGGGCTCTGCTCTGACAGCAACAGAGCCTGCTTGGGATTCTCTCCTTCCCTCTCAAAATAAATAAGTAAACATTTAAAAAAAAAAAGAATATTTTTAAAAAATACACTTTGGACGCATTGGAATATTATTCAGCCATAAAAAAGAGTTGAAATAAGTCTGAGAAAAATAAATACTGTATGATCTAACTTATATGTGGAATCTAAAAAAAAAAAAACTGAGCTCATAACATAGACAACATATTTGGTGGTTTCCAAAGGTGGAAATAATTCCCTCCAAAGGTGGAGTAGGGAATCAACTGGGTGAAGGGAGTCAGAAAGTACAAACCTCAAGTTATAATACAAGTAAGCCATGGGAGTGAAATGTACAGCATAACAAAAATAGTTAATAATACTATATTACATATTTGAAAGCTGCTAAGAGAGTAGACCTTAAAAGTTCTCAGTGCAAGAAAAAAAACTCATAACAACGTATGGTAACTAGACTTGTGGCAATCATTTTGTGATATATACAACATCATACCATTATGTTATACAACTAAAACTAATCTTTTATGTCAATTATACCTCAATTTAAAAAAAAAAAGAAAGAAAGAAATACAGTTCAAAACTAGAAAGTCAAGTCAGCAGGGACACCTGGGTGGCTGAGTCAGTTGAGTGTCTGACTTCGGCTCAGGTCATGATCTCATAGTTTGTGGGTTCAAGCCCCACATGGGGCTCTGTGCTGACAGCTCAAGAGTCTGGAGCCTTCCTCAGATTCTGTGTCTCCCTCTCTCTCCTCCTCCCCCATTCACATTCTGTCTCTCTCTCAAAAAAAACATTACACATCAAATTAACATTAAAAAAAAATTTTTTTTTAAAGAAAGTCAGGTCAGCAATGGGACTCACCTTGGAATGGGTAGGAATGTCAAAGTTAACAACTACATCCACATGAGGTATGTCCAAACCTCGGCTTGCAACATCAGTTGCTAGAAGAATAGAACGAGCCTTTGCCTTAAACTTATTAAGGGATCCTAAGCGTTTGCTCTGACATGATGAAAAGAAATGAAAAGAATGTTAATCTTGATAAACTAAGGAATCTCAGAATCTAAGACACACAAACTAGAAACACTAAATATAAGAACCAAGACAGAAATTTTTAAAAGGATGTTTCCCCTAAGTCCAAACTAGGCTCCACAGATCAGAAGGAAACATGGAAGCAACAAAAAAATATTTAAGACGAGGCTAGAAAATAGTAACAGGAAACGGGGATTGTTTAACATGACAGATAGTTGAAAAATAATTTATTAAACATCTTTAGAGACCAAAGAATCAACGTTAGCACTAGGGCTGAATAAATCAACTGAAAAGCTTCCATACCAGACAAATGAAATCTTCTAATTTGAGCCTCTTACTATCCTAAAAGGAGGAAGTAAGCAACTAGAGCAACACTTTAAAGCCCATAAAATCAAAACAATTCTGAAAAGATGCATGAACACCTCATGTTGTTATTGTATAGAACTACTGCTATAAGCTTTACCCTTTTCACACCACCGTTTCACCACTAATGATGCCAAAGAATCTTTACCTGACTCATCTGTCCATGGAGGGGGATAGCAGTGAATCCAAGATTTCGAAGCAGCAAAGCTGTTCTCTGAGTATTGTTACAGGTGCTGCAGAATATCATAAAGGAGTTTCCAGCCAGTTCATTTAGAATGTAAACCAGGTAGGTATCCTAAGTTACAAACCCAAAACAATCAATGTAAGTAACTGATCTGGAAGAAAAGACTGGAGTCCCAGGAATATAAACTATCTAAAAACCTAAGCCTATAGTTGACTCTCAATTACCCAGACCCCAGCTGCCAGTTTGCACTCCTGAAGCAGCATTATCATCTCTGTGAACCATGAATTTCACATGCCTGAAGCCAAGCACAAGGAAATCTATACTCGGCAACCGGGAAAAGTCCCTACATCAAAGCATAAAACGAGGGTCCCTTGCCTATAAAAAAGCCACATAATCAGGAGACAAAAGAAAAACTACTTCAAGAATGGGGCTGGAAAGGAATTACATCATGACTTCATTATTGTGGTTTAGCATGCTGTGAATTCCCGGAATGTTTGACTTTATCAGTGATAAATATAAGCACAGTATGTGTTCTAAAACAAACAGTAGCACAACTCTTAGCTAATCAAAAGTGGACACACTTTCAGATGCTTTAGTGAGGAAGGAGAGGGAGAGGCAGGAACGATCAAAGTAAACACTTTACCTTGAATTTAGAAGGAATAAAAAGGTAATATTGCTGTAATTTCTCAACTGTCTGGTATTTGGAGGAAACAGCACATTTCACAGGATTCTTCAGTGCTGCTCGCTGAAGTTTTTGCACCTGCAGAAAAAAACCTGGAATAGTACACTGATTCCTAAATGCTGTTTTTACTTATCACTTAATAAAGAAGAAATCAGAAGTCCTAGAAAACTTCACCTTCTTGGTCATGGTGGCCGAGAAGAGAAACGTTTTCCGATCTCGGGGAATCACTTTGAGGATCTTGTCAACCTAAGGCACAAAGAAAGGATACCAACGTTAACATTTAGAGTGGATATTTACAAATGCTCTTTGTGAAGCAGAGAATGAAAAACTAAATATATCACTGTGGGAATTTGGGAACTCAAAAATTCCATTCAATTCAGCTAAAATTTATTGAATATTTATTATTTGTACCATACTATATGCTGTTTTAAAAAATGCCACTCAGAGAAAAGAACAGTTTAAATTACAGTAGAGCTAATCTAAGAGAAAAGTCAAAAGTGTTCATCAACTAAGTTATGAGTGGGTCAGCTATGATGACAGAAAATAAAAATATTTCAAGGTATACGAAAGAGGTATATATCAAATAAAATAGAAACGAAATCTGGTAGAAATTTCTCATCTCTAAAACTACAGTCAGACTATATTCTCTAGAGGATACTGAGGCACTGACAACGTGAGGAACACCAAGAATGAAAAAAAGGCAGCAGAAATGTTTAAATTAACTGATAATGATACAGTATTCCACAAAGCAGTTGTGCGATGAACCGAAGTTTGAAAGAGGGCACTTGAGATGTCCTACAATGAGGAAAGAAACTGGGTGCTCACCTCTGTCTCAAAATCCATATTCAATATTCGGTCTGCCTCATCCATAACCAAGTATTTGAGGGCTCTTAAGTTGAAACCTTTTGTATTTTCCAAGTGGTCTATCAGTCGACCAGGAGTCGCTATCAAGAAAGGTTGAAGAGAAAGGGCAATGTTTAAGAACTAGGACAAAAAGAAAAGTTACCAACCACCCCACCCACCAAGCCCCCCAAAATTTCGGAAATTAAAAAATAAAACAAGACCACAAAAATCCTTTCTTCAAAATCTTTCTACACAAATAAGTTTTATGCAACATGGACAGATCTTCTCCAATTCATCGTTGTCAGTGCCTTTTACCGTTGTCAATTACTCACCTATTATTACATGTGGTTTTTTCGCCAGGGCCAGAGACTGGGACATTGAATCAATTCCACCTACAATCACAGCTACAGAAACAAAAAGAATACAGAAGAGAGACCTTCACTTTTTTCCACAGTTCACTGAATACGTTTTAAGCCAGTGCTAGATTTCTACTTAAATTTTTCTTCCCGTATAACTTTCCCTAAAGCTAAAATACCAAATTCGCTCTTAAGGTCAATAAAGTCATGTTAATAATATTTGCTTCTATTCTCCTTTTCCATTCATTCTCAACTTGTGAAGAAACTCTACAGTTCCTTTCCTGTCAGACACTTACCGCTTTGCACACCAATGGAAGACCCCAGGGCTTCAAACTGCTCTGAGATCTGAAAGGCCAACTCCCGAGTGGGCGTGAGAACTAAGGCAAACAATCGCTGGGGCGTCTCCAACAGTGCATTCAGAATGGGCAAAGCGAAGGCCCCTGTTTTTCCAGAGCCAGTTTCTGCCAGCCCGATGATATCACGACCTAGGAAGAAAAAGAAAACCTCTAACAGCAAAGAAACGCTCTCTGCATTATTTCCCTTTTTCTACAATGACACAACGTGGGCACAAAGTAGACAGTGAATAAATATTTGATGAACTGGAGGGAGAGGAAGGTTGAACAGACAGAAGACATAGTCTCTGTCCTAGGTAAGCTTAAAACCCAGGGGTGACATACACAAATATGATATAATGTGATAAGGGCTTTATAACAGGCCCCTACAACATACAGTGAGAACACAAAGGAAGGAGTAACTCACTGCCCAGGGGAGTCAGGAAAGGCTAACAGACCTGATGAGTAAATTAAATCTGGAATTAAGCAAAGAAAGAAAGGAAGCACATTCCTATAAGAGAACAGAGGACGGAGGCTGTAAAGAACACAGCCACGTGCAGGCAGAGTGAGAAGTACAATGCGGCAGGAACACAGAAATGTTACGGAGGGAGAGGGAGAAGAATGAGGCTAGAAAGGAAACTCATAAGCCATGATAGGGTGTTTTGATGTCTTCCTGTAAGAGAGAGAATTAAAGGATTTTAAGCAGGGAACATGACGATCAATGTTACTCCTTAGGAAGATAATCCCTATGCCTGATGGCATAATGAGCCAAGGAGCTCAACAGTACATGCATTTACACTGCTTCTTCTGAGGGAAGAATGCCGTAAGTAATCCCTTAAGAAGAGGTCCCCATGGTCTGTTATCACCAATCAAGCCGTAACTATAAGATTTGGAAATTAACTCCCAAACCAAGGCCACCATCTCTAGGCTGGCTGGCTGCAGCTCACAAGGTAGCTGTGCACTCCAACAGCGCCTGCTGAGATTGCTTCCTAGTGATAATGACCTCCACGGTTGATGCTCACATTGTTCCCTGACTGTATAGAACTGCTGAGATTTCCTTACCTAGAGATTAACCCTACAATAAACCCCTTTTCTCCGAGGTTACCTGAGTGACTCTCTTCCTTATGACCTAAGATGACCTTAACAGAATGGGGAACACACAGGAAAGTAAGAGCTCAGTTAGGATACCAGGGGAGTTAGTATGGTGGTCTGAACTGAGGCAAGACAGGATAAAAACAAGTGAGATGTACAAAGTAATGAAAGAAAATGTGGTTGACACATGGGTTTCTAAGGGCATATAGAAAATTAGCTCTGGTGAGGAAAACAATGACTCTGGTTTGAACATAGGAACTTGAGGTTTCTGCAACAGGCTCAGAGAGAAATATCTAAAAACCAGTTGGACGCACTTGTTTGGAGCTCAGCAGAGAAGTACAGGCTAGAAACACAGAAGTGGGAGTATCCTAACAGTTTTGCTCCCCCAAGGGCAGACACATCAGAATAACCTATGGGATTCTTATACCTACACATGCCCAGGTCACACATGTGGAAATTCTGATTCAGTGACTCTAGAAATCTCTACTGTTTTACAAGTAAGACAGGTAATTCTGATGAGCACTGGCTGAGACTCACTGATGCAGATAGTGTTAAAGCTTCAGGACTGGATGAGAAATCTTAGTAGTGTTTTCAGAGTGAGGAAAAAAAAAAAGATAAAGATAGAATTAACCTTACAAGGAAAAAGGAAAGGAACCAGAAGAATCTCATAAAGAATAGCTGGAAAGACAGAAGATAATACTGACTTGAAATTGAGGAGGAAGAGAGCTCAAGAAAGGAGAGTGATTGATATCAAGTAGAGCAGACTTCTCAACATCCGTCTTTTAGACATTGATCACTTAAACTAGGATCCTGCCAAGCCAGAGCAAACAACGCCATAGTCTAGTGAATTCTACCATTTACCCTTCTAAACAGTAACATCGATGTTACCTATAAAAGTACAGGTGTAGATGTGAATTATAAGTCAGACCAGACAATGCACTAACTTTGTAAAGGTCAGAGCAACAAATGACAATATACAGATAAAATTTCTCCCTCATTTACTAACTTTAATGTTCCTCTTGGTTGTAGGGTAAGTGATAATGCATTGCAACAGCCTCTACCTATTTGTGAGCTAAGGGCTTCCAAAGCCTTTTATTCCCCAACTTTGTGGGGATTCTGCCCTCCCTGCCTGGGTACAACATACCTTCTAGAACAGGAAAACAAGAACAAGAACAAAAACAAAAACACACCCACTGGGATCTGTTCCCCTTTTCTTTCAAGGGAAGTCTTAAAATTTCAGAAGAAAGGGGTATACAAGAAAGATTTAGGGAAATAAAGAAGCTTAAGTCTCTCAATCCATGTGGCTGTAAAGCCCACCGCCCACAAAGCAATATTCACTTTGTGAAATTATTTTTCTCTATTATCTCCTTTCTTCTTCTCACAACCTGTAAGCCTTTCCAGTGGTAGTATCTGTGTAGAATGAACACCCAGTAAGAGGAGCAGGAATAAATTCATTCACCTGCCACACTGCTAGCACCTAACACAACTACTTGGTATATGGCAGCCATTCAAAAACCTGTCTGAAATTCCTAGAGGACTTTGAGTGATCTCTGAATTAAAAATAAACTTAATATGGAGTGCCTGGGTGGCTCAGTCGGTTAAGCGTCCGACTTCAGCTCAGGTCATGATCTCACGGATGGTGGGTTCGAGCCCCCATCGGGCTCTGTGCTGACAGATTGGTGCCTGGAGCCTGCTTCGGATTCTGTGTCTCCCTCTCTCTCTGTCCCTCCCCCTTTGGTGCTCTGTCTCTCAAAAATAGATTAAAGTGTTAAAAAATTTTTTTGAAAAATAAACTTAATACATGAAACAGATGGGAAGAAGAGCATCCTCAAAAATCATCAAAAGATTTTGCTCTCCCCACTCTAACACTATAATATAGGGCCAAGAACACAGGCTTTTCACTAGAACATCCTATTATTCAAATTCTAGCTCTACTGATAACAAGTTATGTGCACCCACCCAAGGTACTTAATCCACTGGCCATCACCAATAAAATAATCATTCCTGCCTTTCAGAATTGTTATAAGTTTAAGAACAATGGATGGACCCAGGATGCCACAATTTTGTAGAAACTGACACCATCATTAGTACTCAAACTAAATTTTAAAGTTAATTTAAGAGAAGACAAAAGAAAAACTTTGTTAAATTATTTAAATCTCTTGCTTAGAGCCAGCGTCTATAGGTTTTTTAAATGAAGCATTTGTAAACTACTCCTTAGAATGAAATAACCTCAAGAATAAGAATACTTTCCATGATGATTATATCAGTCACATTACTCAGTTCCTAGTAATCTTTCATGGACTCCTACTTTCTCTGCATTAAATACAAACTTTTTACTGAAAACATTATAAATAATTTAAGGATTATTACCACCACCTAATTTGGGTTCATTCTTCCAACACATGCTGTAGGGCAGGCAGGAAAATGCCAGAAAGCACCAACCCTTCTTTTTGCTTTTTAAAGCAATTCCAGTACTTCTGACTGCCAAAACTTCTTCCCCACTAATGGCCTTTACACAATCCTTATCCTCTTAGCGTCTCTAGACAACTTGAAAGTGTTTACAACCCCCTCCCTAAAACACTCTCCCTTACCTAATTTGTTTGAAACTGTCCTCTCATGATTTTCAACCTGTTATTGAGTCTCCATTTCTCCCCTTGTCATCTCTTGACCCTACGTGGCAACCTCAGCCATTTCCACAGTTTCAGCTACAACTTCTCTTTGGATGTGGTATCTGCATCCAGTTCTGGACTCTTAATCAAGCTCTAATTCCCAGATTCCACCTGTGCGTCAGTCAAGTCTATTTCTTTGATGCCCGAAATCAATTATTTCCAACTGAACTCCTCTTTCCTGAAATTATTTTTCCTCCTATGTTCCCTTTTTACACCAGTAATATGTCCTAAACACACTGGCAACAATCCTAGATTTCCCTACCCCTTTCCTTCCATTAACTAACTAGTTATAAAATCATGATGACTCCTTTTCTATCATTTTTCTTTTTTTCTCACTACCTCTACCCTACCCTTTATTTATTGCCAAAATTACCGCAATGCCCTCCTAATTGGTCTCCCAGCCTCTTGTCTCTCATCTCTAAATTTCCTTATAAAGCTATGAGATTAATAGCCCAAGAAAACAACTCTAAGCATTTCATTCTCCTGCTAAAAAAATAATCCCCAAAGGCACTCCACTGCCCATGGAACAAAGACCAAATTCCTTTACCCACATTTAAGTCCTGCATAATCTGGCCCCAAAGACTTTACTAATCCTTTCCCTATTCTCTATTAAGTAGTTGCAAGCCTCCACACATGCCCATGTGTTCCAGCCTCCTTAGCTTTTTTTTCATATTGTTCCCTATGCCTAGAAGGTCCTCCCCTCCCATCATGCACGAATGTCTAAATCTTATTCAGTCTTCAAGGTTCCGCTTGAATGTCTTTCCAACCTTTCCAGCCAAAAACTAAAGTTTATTCTAGTCCATTCCAATGAGTAGTAATCTCTTCTCCTCCCTCAGTGCACTTGGAATGTAACTTTCTTATGTCCCAGTTCACTTTGTAATAGATTTACAATTATCTCCTTACTAGAATCTAAGTTCTTAGAGTGGGCAGAATCTTAACTTCTGGTGCCTTACACTTGTATCAGATACTTACTATTTATAGAAGGAGCAAATGGAATTTCATAGAGTAAGTCTAATTACTTTTCCACATGACAGCTCTCCAAATCACTGAAGCCAATTACCATATCCCATCCAGATCTACTCTTCTGCAGACTGAATGCACTCAAGATCCTTTAACTATTTAGGACTATTCTTGTTACTATACCACACTCACTGCCACTCTTGGTCCCTCAAAACTGGGCCCCAGAACTAAGCATAATATTCTAGATGTGTTCTAACCAGCAAAGGCATTTCTCTCACTAGAGCTAGTTCAAGAGTTCTTAACCTGGGACATATGGGAGAGGAATTCAGAGTGAGGGGTAAATTCTACATACAGATATGTTCATACACTTTTTTTTTTTTTTGCTTGCCTGGAAAATCTCTTATACTAATGTAGCTAAGATTCCATTCATTTTCTCTATGGAACTTAATGAATTTCAGTGAACATTGCTAGGTCTCTTTTACCACCAACCCTAACACTGTGAAGCTGGGCTTTGGGAATCTAAGAGCAGGACTTTACCTCTACTCCCATGAAAGTTCACCCTGTTAGTTTCAGTCCCACTAGTCATCAAACATGTTAGCCATTCTTCTGAAAATCTGATAAACACGTCTCACAAAGCAAGAGCTCTCAACTCCTCTAGATACTGATGTGTGTTCCAGGCACCCTTATGTAAATCTGCACTTATTGATTCATAATTCCTAACAAGTTTCTTGTTCATACACTTTAATCCAGTGTGTCCTTAAAGTTAGCACCTGTTGGGGCGCCTGGGTGGCACAGTCGGTTAAGCGTCCGACTTCAGCCAGGTCACGATCTCGCGGTCCGTGAGTTCGAGCCCCGCGTCGGGCTCTGGGCTGATGGCTCAGAGCCTGGAGCCTGTTTCTGATTCTGTGTCTCCCTCTCTCTCTGCCCCTCCCCCGTTCATGCTCTGTCTCTCTCTGTCCCAAAAAAATAAAATAAACGTTAAAAAAAAAAATTAAAAAAAAAAAAAAAGTTAGCACCTGTTGCAAACAACAAATCTCCTTATAGAAAGTAAGCTCAGTAGAACAGAATTACTTTTTCAAAAGCCAATATGCCACAAATTTTGTATCTTTAGTGACAATATTTTTATATTACTTGAAGTATACAACAACAGCTCTCAAAAGTGGTAAGTAGTTGATTGAGTATAACTTCAAACTGAACCTGTATTAAGCCACATGTTTAATTTCAACCTACCTTGTAAGGCCAAAGGAATAGCTTCAATCTGGATCTTTGTGGGCTTTGTCCATCCCAGCTGGTCACAAGCTTCACACAACACATCTGTCACACCCTTAGAATTCAGAAAAATACACTTTAGCAAAGAGGAACCCACACACTTGCCTCCCAGCTAATTTTTTTTTGAATGTTTATTTTATTTTTGAGAGAAAGAGAGAGCATGAGCAGGAGAGGGGCAGAGAGGGGGTTAACACAAAATCCGAAGCAGGCTCCAAGCTCTGAGCTGTCAGCACAGAGCCGCAGCCAGGCTGGAACCCGGGAACCACAAGATCGTGACCCGAGCCACAGTCGGTTGCTTAACCCACTGGGCCACCCAGGCGCCCCTGCCTCCATCCTAATTAAATGACTGTCGGACCCACCCTGCTGGTGACATGTGCATCCCTTACGCCTGGATTCAAGAAGTATTGCGAGCCTACTCGGTCCGCTCTTTATGAGCACTAGGAGATAGTAGCACTTCAAGACTTAACACTTTCTACTCAAAGAGACAAACCCAAGCTCTTCACGTGCACTATTTCATTCAAGCCTCACAATTCGCTGAAGTACGTATTATTACCCCCAATTTACAGATGTGGAAAGTGAGGCACCGCGAGGTAACAACGTGCCCCTAGTAAGTGACTGGGTCAGAATCCAAACCCGTTGCATCTTACTCCGAGGTGGGGAGGGGGGAACTTACAAATACAAACGTCGCCACACCAAAAGGGAGAAAAGCGCAAATAGGGACTCTCAGGGACGGGCAGCCCTCCCACCATCCAAACCCAGAAGCTTAGGGAGAGCGTCTAGAACCCAAGTTTCGGAAATTCTGAAGGAAACCCAAGCTAGGCCCCAGCTGCGTCTATACACTATTAGCCGGAACCTAAGGCAAATGGACTCTGCCTGCGCCCAGTGTCAGCAGTACAAAGAAAAGCCTGAGTCATCCACGCTCACCAGATCTTTAAAAGTTTTAGTTTCCTCCTCTTGCACCGCCGGCTGAGGCGCTTCAGTCGGAGAATCGTGCTCCTCGGGCGCCGCCATGTCTTCCGCGCACTCCGGAAGCGGGTCGCCGGCGCGCGGCGTGCCGGGAAATGTAGTTTTAGTTCTCCCCGGCCAACGTGTTCTGGGCGCCCCCCTGCGGACTGGTTGGGATTTGCCGGCCGGAGGGCCGAGGCCTTGTGGAACTTAGTTTTAAAAAGGGGGTGGGGGATGGATATTAATGTGTAGGCTTGTGGAACTGAGAGGAGTGCAGAAGGCACTGATGACCTGGGCCTCCTGTCTGTACTTTAGGATCCTTATAAGAAGTTATTCCCACCTCTCACACCTGTTATGTTCCTTGCTTCTCCAATCATACAGCATTGAACAGGGTGATACTGCAATACTATTTATTTATTATAATTGTTTCATTCATTTACTCAGTTGAGCCCACCATATGCTAGGGCTATACTACATGCCTAGTGGCCAGGACACCATCCGTTGCTGTGGAGAAGACAGATAATGAATAAATGATCACAGATAATTTCAAACTGTGAAAAATGCTATGATGTAACAAACAAATAAAAATGATGGAGAGTAACCTGGGGAGGACAGGTTGTGGGGACAACTGTGAGCTTGGGCAAGGCCTCTGGGAAGCAGTGATAATTGAGCTGAGATCTCACTGGTGAGAAGACAGTCCCTTGAAGAGTCCAGGGGACAATTATTTCAGACTAAAGGAACAGCAAACGCAAAGGTCCAGAGGAAGCGTAGCCAATGAGGCTGTTCTGGGAAACAGTCTGCCACTACTGAGGCAAATTAAAAGTTATTTTATGTTGCAGGTGCCTGTGCCCAGCAAGCACAATCCTCCAGCATGCAGGTTCTCACACGGTGCCACAGTGCTCATATTATTGGAGGCAGCTGGTATGCATCCTTGGGAGAGTGGATAATTAAAACGTATCCACGGTGTGAGCAAATGGGCCTATAACAATACAGCCAGATCTCAAAAACCTAGTGCTGAGTGGGAAAAGTATAAAATATGTCATGTCATTTAAAATATATACCCAGAGGGTGCCTGGGTGTCTCAGTTGGGTCAGCATCCGACTCTGGATTTGGGCTCAGGTCAGGATCTCAGTGTCGTGGGCTCGAGCCCTGGGTCCACGCTGAGCATGGAGCCTGCTTAAGATTCTCTCTTCCTCTCTCTTTCTCTCTGTGCCCCTCTCACCTGCTCTCTCTCTCTCTCTCTCTCTCTCTCTCAAATAAAAAAAAAAATTAGGGGCACCTGGGTGGCTCAGTAGGTTAACCATTCAACTTCAGCTCAGGTCATCATCTCGTGGTTCATCGGTTCAAAACCCAGGTCAGGCTCTGTGCTGACAGCTCAGAGCCTGATACCTGCTTTGAATTCTGTGTCTCCCTCTCTCTCTGCCTCTACCCCACACACACTCTCTCTCTCTCTCTCTCTCTCTCTCTCTTCTCTCTCTCTCTCAAAAATAAATGTTAAAAAAATTAATAGTAATAAAATTTTTTAAAATATTTTTTATTTAAAAAATAATTTCTAAAGATGTACTCCATTAAAAATAAAATCAGGTAAAAATTTTGCCCACAAAAATATCACTTTCTGCTAGAGCACATACAAATAGAAGGATACACTTCAGACATTTGAGAACGGTTACCATGGAGAGAGAGGAACTGCGATAAAACTGGGAATGAGGGAACTGGAAATAAAAGAATAGATACACAAAGCAGGAGAAGGGACTTGTGACAATGTGCCTTGACCTGAGAATTGTCAACTCAGCTCAGTGTGCCCGAGGTCCTCCCCACCACCAAGTGAAAAAAGGTCCTGACTTAGGAATCACGTTGGTGTCTGCAAAAACAAAAACAGGTGGGGTGAAGTCAGAGAAGCAGGCCCAGGTCAGACCCTGCAGGACGCTGTTAGTAAAAGAGTTTGGGGTTGGACGTTATCCTGAATACAAAAGCTTCTGGAGCGTACTGAGCAGGGAGGCATGTGACCTACATAAGCTAAAATATCACTCTAACTCTTTATGAAGACAGATAGTAGAGAGGAAAGGGTGGAAAGAGAAACTCCCTAAGAAGCAAGAGATGATCTTCATACCCCAAGCTCCAAGCACGCTGCCTGATGCAAAATGGATGCCCCGTAACTGCTCGGTGGGTGAATTACAACTCGGCAAAGCACCGGGGTCAAGTATGATGGCAAATCGGAGAGAACTGCACTGGTGTTTCTTTCGGGAGTGAAACTGCTTCCAGCTTTGAGATTACCTCCTGCAGAATACACTAGGGTCTTTGCTGTTTTCATATCCATGTCTCCACCTTAAAGGGAAGGAGAGAAGACCCACACCATATAAAACAGGGTAACCAGTTTCGGGTCACCCTGAAACTGGTTCTATCATCAACCTGCTTGGGCCAACACAGTCTGAGGCCTTCCAGCTGTCTGTTCAGCTCCCTTCCCCCCGCCATCCTCTCCATCTTCCCAGGACAGGCAATGAGGCCGCCTTAGGTGATCTCCAAAGCAGGTAATTCGATTTGGGATAAGGGGAAGTTGACTCATCCCAAAGAAGTTCTCCCAAACTAGCGCTGTCTCCTTTTGTAGACCTGATGAGGGTCAGCATGAGGCAGGCTGAGGGACAAAGCACAAGCTAGCACCCACCCCCACCGCTCTTCCCCCAGGTGGAATATGTGATATTCCTCACACACTCCTGGCTACTCAAGAACAAAGCACAGGGGTCTAAGTGCTTGCCATGGTAATATAGGAAACAGAGGCAAATGAAAAATTAAATTCCCTTCTGCCTATAGCCCATTGACAAGTCCTTGAGATAGAAGAGTGACCTCCCTCTAAGAGCTCAGCTGCCTCCATGATGACACTTTGCTGGGGCAAAAGAGAACCTTAGCTTAACATTATCCCAACCTGGAGGATCCTGTAAGTCTGCTTCCTTTATCTCAACTGCCCCAAGATATATGCTGGCAATCATACTCCAAGCTTATGCCCCCCCCATATATATCTGAAGGGTCTCATGACTGAGGTTTTATTAAAGGTAACAAATAGCGTTTCCCTAGCAACAGCTAGCCCCTCAAGATCCTGGAAACCTTGCTTCCAAAATTCCTTAGAGACATACTCTATCCCAAGCTGAGGGTATATAAGGAGTTACCCATCAGGCCCCCAGTGCAGCTCTTCCTGCCTATGGGTCCTGTCCCCGTGCTTTAATAAAATCACCTTTTTACACCAAAGATGTCTTCAAGAATTCTTTCTTGGTCGTCGGCTCTGGCCCCCACGAACCCCCAGCACCCCCAAAACTTCATCAGACCTGCTGGAAATTTTGTGTTACTTGTTTGACAAGTGAGAAACTCGAGTCATGTCAAGCGACATGTGACAACGCAAGGTAGCAAGAAACAAGAGGAGAACCCAGGCCTCTGGAGGCCCAGACAGTGCTTTCACTGCAAAGAACATCATCTCCCAAGACCACGAGCAGCTCTGTCCTGCAGTCACACTCAGATTCCTCGGCCCCACAGAGTTTTCTGTAAGAACGACAGAGCAGCTAAAGTATTTATTCAGCTTCCCTGACATTTGTTTTCTGATTTCATTTAAGAGGGGAATGAGGAATGAAGTGTTGAGGGAAGCTGGAAGCCTGGAAAGGGGCCGCAGATGGAAGCAATTGTAAGGACTAAAAAATTGCATATCATATAGGGTCTAAAGTTACCCAAGTTTTGTTAAAATGTGTTACAGGAAAGAAAAAAAAAAACTCACACAGAAGATTTGTAATGGGAAATCTGTTTAAACTACTCAGCTGCTATTATAATATAAAACTATCCTCTTAAAAAAATATATTTAAAAAGAGGCGCCTGGGTGGCTCAATCTGTTAAGTGTCGGAGTCTCAATATTGGTCATGAGCTTATGGTTGTGAGTTCAAGCCCCGCATTGGGCTCTGCAGTGCAGAGCCTGCTTGGGATTCTCTCTCTCCCTCGCTGTCTGCCCCTCCCCGATTCATGCACTCTCTCCCTGTCTCAAAATAAATAAATTTTTAAAACATATTTAAAAAAATTTTTTTTTAACGTTTATTTATTTTTGAGACGAAGAAGAGTGACATGAAACGGGAGGAACAGAGAAGAAGGAGACACAGAATCTGAGAGCAGGCTCCCAGGCTCTGTCAGCACAAGAGCCAGTGGGGCTCAAACTCACAGACTGTGAGATCATGACCTGAGCCGAAGTCGGATGCTTAGCCAACCAAGCCACCCAGGCGCCCCTAAAACATATTTTTAAAAAAAACAAAAGACCTGTCCTTTTCAGCCAAGCAAAAATTTTTTGTTTGTTCTCAGATAATTCAAGCAATATTGTTAAAACTTCCTCTCGTGCCGGCGTCCCCGAGGTGCAGAGGGATGTCAAGACAACACGGCCTGGTTGCACCATTCCTTGGTCCCGGGGTGTGCCGGCAAGGTTTGGGCCTCAACCAGCACCCACCTGGGTGACATGATTCATGTCAGACCAGCAGGGTGACCACAGAAGCTGAGAAGAACCTGCTTCAACTGGGGGGACTGTCTGCTTCTGCCTATTCCTACCAGGCTTGGAGTAGCTGGGATATTTATACTCTGGTCGGGGATATAATGAGGTCAGTTCTAGTAACTGAAGCTGATTGTCACATCCTGTACTTTGAACAATGAGGAGAGAAAGATTGAAGAGGAAATCCAAATAAACACTCAAAATGGTGAGGGGGAAAAGCAAGCCTGAAACAATATACCGGCTCCAGAAGGACAGGGCAAAGTGACTACCCCCAACCCCCACTCTGAAAGCCTTTCGCAGGCTCCCACACTCTCCTGCTTTCATATGCCCCTTTCTCCACAAAAAAAAAAAAAAAAAATCACTAACAAGTATATTTTAAGGCTGCATAAGCATAAGGACAAATACATAAATATTCCGTATTAAAATAGTTCCTCTGATGTAAAAGTCCTTTTTTTCCCCCCCTTTGATGTTAAAAGAAATTAAAACCTTTTTTGGGGCGCCTGGGTGGCTCAGTCGGTTAAGCGTCCGACTTCGGCTCAGGTCACGATCTTGAGGTCCG